AAAAAGAAGATAGATTCTTATCTGTGTAGCATTATTTTTGAAAGTGTAAAGGAAGTTGGATTTCTACATACAGCTTACTAATTGGATTGTAAATTTTTTCCTTTCTAGTTAAACAAGCAGTAGTCACACCAGAGGCTAGGTAGAATCTGGCAAGAGATTGATCAATATGGCAAGCAAACCATCTGGAGAATATGTATTTATTTTTGGTAGTCCAAATCATATATATATATATATATATATATATATATATATATATATATATATTCCTCACTCAATAATATGTTTATTAATTTGAGAGAGAGAGGGAGGGAGAGAGAGAGAAGAAGAGAGAGAAAGATGAAAGAACCATTGATCAGTTGCTTCCAGTACACACTCCAATGGGGGATCAAACCCATAACCTAGGTATGTGTCCTGACTGGAAATTGAACTGGCAAACTTCTTTGGTGTAAGGGGCGATACTCCAACCATCTGAGCCACCCAGCCAGGGCTATAAAAGTATTTATATTTTACAATTATAAAGATAATTCATATGTGTTTCAGAAATGTTGGAAAACTTTAAAACCTTAAATAAGAAAATAAATCACATTTCCACTAGTAGAGAAAATTGTTGATATTCTGCTGTATATTTTCCCAGATGTGTATGTCTATATTAATATAAATGTTTCTCACAGACTTTCAATCCTGATTTTAATTTAAGTAAGATTAAAGTTTTGGGGACATTTATCATTTCTAGACAAGTTTGGATTTAAAATTTGGATTACAGGACTTCTGCTTCTGGCCTAGATGGTGCAATAGGAAATTAACTCCTACATGATATACCTTAAAATCCAGATGAAACATATGAAAAAACAACTTTCAATTTATTAGAAATCAGGCCATAAAGGACAGTGATCTCTAAGAAATGGAAAACAAATAAGTTCTACGATAACCCAGTTTATTGCCTGGGAAGATATTGCAGATCACACTGCACAGAGGGAGAGGCTGGCAGTCTCCTTGAGTTGAGGAGTTGGAGCTAGTAGTCCAAGAAGGCTAGAATTCGCAAGACAGAATAATGGAGAGAAAATTGCTGCACCAAAGGAGTACTCTGGAACTCACATGGGGTACAGAAATAGTTCTTGTTTCCATTAGTCAGATTGGAAATCCTCATAATTCATGAGTCATTGGAAGGTTTTTGCCTTCATAGTAAAACATGGTTGAAAAGTTAGGAGGCCCTCCATGATTTTTGATACTCAGAAATTACCAGGTAAAGCACTAGTAGAAAACAGTTGGGGACAAAGCTAGGAATGAAGGACGAGACAGAGATTGTTAGCATCAGGAAGTTCCAGTGAAAAATCCTAACAAAATCTCAAGGGGGGTAGTGGGTTGCAGGGAAGGCAGCTAGTCTCATTCTGATAATAGAAACTAGATGAGTGGGGAGGACAGTATGTAATGGTGTGTGTCTAAGTCAGTGGTGGGGTAATGAATTGGGGAACAAGAAACAGGATGATAAGGTATGCTGGGGATGTAGAGATTGTGGGCTCAGAAGTTGTTGGCAGTGCTGGAAAGCCAGGCAACAAAACTGGGATTCAGCACATTGGGCAGAATGGAGTCTACAAGGATGGATGTCTGTGCAGGGGCCTGATGAAGTCCATGGCCGAAGAAGGGTCCTCTAGCATAGAGCTTTCCAAGCAGTGCTCAGAGAGATCCCTAGAATTCTGTGGTTAGGTGGCCAGGGTCACTGTCCCTGAGGGAGAAGAAAGGATACTGAGTGAACAGGACTCCGGGATTACAATCTTTACTTCAACCAGATTGCTCTGCCTTACTCATGTTCATGGATTCAGTTTCTTTGAAAGCTTCTGTTGGAACATGAGATCCACATCTAAAATTATAATTTTTTAAATGCCAACTTTTTCAAGTGCCTACTATGTGATAGGTACTTTCAAATATAGGATCTCTTCTTGTTTTCAAAGAATTCTGTAAATCTTAGCAGGGATTCCTGCACTGTCCTTTGCAATAACCTCTATAATCTCAATAGCCTGAGAATCTTTTCCTTCCTTATGATGTATAGTCAAAATGTTAACTGGTGAGTCTCTGCTACCCTCCATATGATAGAACATTCCCCAACATCTGTATATATACCATCAGGCATACTGCAAACCAGTATATTCTTATGGGGCAGATATACTTACCAGAGGCATTGGAAAGATGGTAATTCTTTTTTCTTTTTAAAGTTAATATGTCCACCAAGAAACCGTTCATCTCTAGGATTCCAGGGCTTTAGGGATTCAGCCCCTGTAGATGTTTGCTTACACTGTGATTTCTATTGTGTTTCCTCATCTTCCACTAATAAAGAAGGCTTTGGTTTCTGACAATCTAGGTAAGCTCATTCATCTGTTGATGTGATCAGTGGCTTGTTTCAAATAAGACATCTTATTAGAATCCTACTGTAAATATCTGGTTTCAAAAACTCTTACTAACCTCAGAGTTATATCCCAAGAACCAGTAGATCATATGAAAACTAGCCTCTATTCACCAGCCTATAAAGGACACATATTTCAATAAAGAAATTAAATAAAGAAATTAAAGAAAAAACATTTGAGAATTATTTAAGATGCCAGGAGGGATACCCAGGTATCTAAATATCCTTCAGGTGCACTTTTTACTGTGGCCCAGAAAGAGGGATGTGACAGCCAGGAGGCTTCTGCAGGTAGTAGGATGTTCAATGTTGGGGGTAAGTGGGTAATCTTGGGCTGTTTCTCTGGCAGCAGGGCATACAGTCTTCAGAGGAAGGGGAAATGACAAGCTAGTCAGCAGGCCAGGTTCCATAGTTGGACAGGAGGACACATGGAGGAAAGACAGGGGGAGGGTGCCATAATACAGGAAAGTGCTGAGACTGGACAAAAATGCCAGCACCTGGGCAGGGCCAGCTCTCAAGGAGCCCTAGGGCTCAGGAAGGACTGTAGGTAAATAAAGCCCACAAATAATTCCCGAATTGTGTTTGCTTCTCCTTGTCACCTTCCTTCTTTAGGCCTGCTTCTGGTACCTTAGCCACAGGGCCCTTCTTTTTGTTGCCTGAAAAACATGGAATATTGGGAAGAGATATGGAGAAAGAAATGAAAGGTCTGTCTCAGGCTGGGATGGGTAGGAACAGCCTAGGTAGGCCTAGGTGAATTGAGGACTGAGATCTAGTCCTAGTCCTGTCACTTAGTAGGCATTATGATCTTGTGTAAATTGCCAAGTGCTAGGAGTTTTAGGTTCTTCATCTGAGAAGTGGGTTTGATAAGCCCTGACTTGAAGGACTGCTGGAATGTATGTAATATAAGTGAAGCATCTGGACAAAGCCTCACATTGATTGGATCTTTAATGAAAAGTAGAAATTTCTAATATGATTTTGACTCCAGACTCTATCACTTGCGTCTCTGTGATTGTGTGTGTGTGTGTGTTCCATGACATCTCAGAGAATATGCATCATTCTAGGGCACAAGATACCAACTGAGCCAAACGTTGTACATCAGGGGTGGGGAATCTTTTTACTGCCAAGGGCCATTTGGATATTTATAATGTCATTCTCAGGCCAAACAAAATAATCAACTTAAAAATTAGCCTGCTATGTCTGGTCAAACATTTAATTAACCCTTAATGTCTTGGCAGGGCCAGACCAAATGATTTCGCAGGACTTATATGGCCTGCGGGCCAGACATTCCCCATCCCTGTTGTAAATATAACTCAGCAAATTTTCTTTGTTTGTGGCTATATTAATTTGGATATGAGGATGTCTTCCTCAGCTGCATGCAACTCAAAACTCCTAGAATTTGAATCAAGGACTCCTTTCCTCCCTCCAGCTGCTCTTCCATACAAACCACTATTTCCATTCGTTTCACACCCACCAAAAATCTAGCCCTTGCTGAGAGCTGGCCAAATTACACTCAAGATAGTCTAATTAAAATGTCCTTTCAATGGAGTGGGCTCTGGCTCTCCCAGGCCAAAAAGAAAAAGTGCCAGCCTCTGGGTATCACTTCAAAGAAATATCACCCTATTTTCAGAAATCCTTGCAGACAAAGTGTATAAAGCATTTGGTTTATGCAATGTGTTTAGCGGCATGAGGACAAAAGTACAGAATACTATCCACACCTGCTTCAGATGTGGATTTCTCTCTGGTTTATACACAATCACAAAGGCACTTCTGAGAGCAGTTTTCCATTCTAGCTTTTTCTCTAAACTATCAGACACAGCTGTAAGAATAAATGAGCTGCCCTACCTGGTTTGGCTCAGAGGATAGAGCGTCAGCCTATGGACTGAAAGGTTCCAGGTTTGATTCCAGTCAAGGGCACATGCCCAGGTTGTGGACTTGATCCCCAGTAGGGGGTGTGCAGGAGGCAACTGATCAATGATTCTCTCTCATCATTGATGTTTCTAGCTCTCTCTCCCTCTCCCTTCCTCTCTGAAATCAATAAAAATATATTTAAAAAAGAATAAATGAGCCATTGAACTGGGGCTAACATTTATTAAGATTTGATTTTGCATACATTCTTTAATTAGCCAAAAAAATCCAGGTATATATCTTTAAGTTTACAAAACAGAAGACTAAATGTAATATAGGAATCCTAGGATAACCATCTTGTACATTTCCCTCTATTTCTTGAACTCATCTATTTCATTGCTCAGCACTTATACATTTCTAATTCCTATTCCAATGCCATCCTATCCTGCTCCAGATCACAAAGTAAGATGGAAGGTTCCCCAGTTTGTTTCATAGAACAGAAAAATTCTTATCCTTAAACCTGTTAAACAGCACTAAATACATAACCAATGCCATTCATGAACCTAGACTCTGAAGCTAATAATTCTTTTAGGAGGCAGAACATTTGAAAGATACCAAAAAGAAAAAGAAAAAAGAAAAAATTTGCAATTCATCCATCCACTGGTTAGAACCCTGATTTCCCTCTTCAAACACCAAGTTGAGAATCTTCCTCAGACTTCATTCAAGATGGGAGAAGCTGCTGGATGTGACACTAGAACTTTTACTGACCATCACCGGTGGCAGCTTTGGCCTCAGCTCTCTCTCTCTCATCTTTCAATGCATCCTCATACCAGTGTGGGAGAGCAGTGGGGTCATTCCCAGTGACCCTGGTGAAAATTTTCAGGACTTTCATCTTGGTGGTTTCAGCATGGGCTCTTGGACCCCACAGGAACTCATAGCGTGGAGGATGACTATTGGGCACCTGCTGGTATTCCAAGTACTTTCCCTGCACTAGATCTTCAGTGATGAGCTTCCTGGGCTCCCCAAAGATGAAATGATTCTTCCCAGGATGCACCCCAATCATATTTAGCTCTTCCCAGATTTTCTCTTCTGAGGCACGGTTTCCGTACTTGAAGATGGTGCCCAAGATGAATATCAGGAGGCCAGTCTTGGGCATGCCCTGGACATCACTCAGCATCCCATCATAGGTGAGGTCTAGTAATTTTATGAGCATGTAGGAATGGCTGGTGGGGTCCACTTCCTTCACCTTAATGCCAAAGAGAATCTCCAAGCAAACACAGGCTTTCTTGAAGACCACAGGGAAGTGATCCTTGTGCTCTCTGATGACATTCTCTAGCATTTCTGCCTTTGTGATGGGCTCCTTTGTTACATATTTGATACTCAGGAAGTGCACTAATTCAGACACCTTATTTTGTAGCACTTCAGTGAACAAGAACTCAGGATTTGGTGGAGCCTGCAAAGTGGTTGGACCCTCTTCTTGGCTGCTGGAGGCCTCATTTGATTTGCTTGATGGAGTGGCTTTGATGGCAGTGGAGGAGGAGCAGGCTCTCTGGGAATTCTGGGGAACACTTGGTGTTCCAGCAGCAAGCACAACCTCTGTGGTGCCCTGAATCAAAGGAGAAAGAGAGGGGGAGGCAGCTCCCTCCTCAGAGGAACCTGTGCAGCCATGAGGCTTAGAGCCTCTGTTTGGGCCTGAAGGCTTTGTTTAGGCTTGGGGCACTGACTCTTCTTACTGAGAGACATAATGACTTGTGTTGGAGGCAGCAGCAGGAGTGTGTGCAATAGGTTCGGTGATGGGGACTAATGGCCTGAGGGAGAAAGGAAGAGTGTGGGAAACACAACCTTGTCAGCTCTGACAAAGGCTGCCTTAACAAGTCTTCCCTTAGATAGTGCTATAGGAGTCTCCTGATTGGCCTGTTCCCTAAGAACCTTTAGGAGGATCTGAGTAAGCTCCTCAGGGTATAGCCAGCTTGCAGAGCCTATAGATTCCAGGTAAGACAGTAGGGTATGTGTGGTCAGGCAGTGTGATATCCCCTCTGTTCTGATGTGAGTGGAGCCCTTGGTAGATATTCTGAATCCTGACTTTGACTGACTCTGGGCGCTGCCTAGGCTTCTTCTGTTCTTCTGACCTGATGACACATGACTCAGACCAAATCCCTCACACACCCTACCCCTACTGGGGATTACTTGAGCCCCTGTAAGGGGAGGTGAGTGGACATTTCAGACTGTAGACTGTAATCACAATATTTCCCCTTCTACAGTGATGACAGGAGTAGGGGGAAGACTTTTAGATATCTCAGAGTTCACTCAAGATTCTCATCTTTCTCTTGTCAAAGCCTGGACCGCACCCCTCTCCTGGCCTGAAACAAAACTCTCAGAACAGGAGCTCACATTCCTGAGATCTATAGGACGAAGCAAGAGGCATCAATCACACTTGGCCACACTTACTCAGCAACCCTTACCACCCGGTTTTACAGTAAAGGCTGGATTAATTTGTGGGGATCCCTAGAATAGAGGGATCATTTTGGTCCTTACCTTGATGCCTGGAAGGGCCTGGGATTCTTCCCTCTGTTGATGTGTGGTCATGCTTCTTAAACAAAGGCTTCACTTCCTTGAGAAAGAAGAGGAAGTGAGGGGGTTTCAGATTTAACCACCATGCCCTAGGTCAATGGTCAGCAAACTGCGGCTCACGAGCCACATGCAGCTCTTTGGCCCCTTGAGTGTGGCTCTTCCACAAAATACTGACTTCTGCGCACGAGCCATGAAATTTCAATCGCACTGTACGTGTGCGTCCATACGTGGTATTTTGTGGAAGAGCCACACTCAAGGGGCCAAAGAGCCGCATGTGCCTCGCGAGCCGCAGTTTGCCGACCACTGCCCTAGGTCCTATCATAGCTGACCAGGCCGACTCGGCCCTATCTGTTTTTGAGCAGAAAGTCCACCCCATCCTCTAACCTCAAATTAATTCCTGGAGAGCTTTAGACATCTCTTTGCTGAACAGAGTCCTACCCCTTGAGACCACCAGTTGTGAGTGACATTGAACCACATCTGGACACTGTGCATTAAGGAAGAAGCAAGGCAGGGAAGGGGCCTTATCTCTCCAAGGGCTGGGGAGGGGTGACCATCAATCCTTATTCAATGTCTTCACTTTAACTCCAGGAAGAGCCTTAGGCTGATATGAAATTACCTGGTCAGACCTAATTCTTCACTACCCTGAGACCAATGACATAAAAGTGAGAAGAGACCACATCTATCCACCCCTGCTTAAGATCTCCCAGACCTGACAGCAGGGGTGAATTCAGTATGTTCTGGTACAGTAGGTACACTTAGTCATCCCTTAGGTATTCAACTCAATCCCCAGTAGGGGCTAAGACTCCCCCCTCTGGTTACTTGAGTCTGGCTTTCTTAGACAAAGATTTTCACCACCATGAGGCTTCCTTCATACAATGCTAGCTGAAAATGAGTGAAGACTCAGACAGACTGACCTGCATGGGGACTACCAGGGCTGACAACAGGGGTAGGGCAGGTTTTTGTGGGGACCTCTTTGTTTGAAGTGTGAGTTACCCTTAGGCATTCAGAAGGTATTCATATTTACTCCTGTCAAGCCCTGCATTCTTTCCATTCTGCTGACTTGAGGATGCATCCTTCAGACCAAGGATCTGTCTCCCAGAGACACCAGACAATGAAGTGAGGGGAGGGCACGAGATTGGAGGAGGATGCCTCTAACAGCCCTACTTGGGGTTTCTCATGGCTAACAGCAGGAGCAGGATAGGGCTAGAGATCCCTCTATCTACAGGTGAAGGTACTCAGTATTATCTCAGATCCTCACCTTGACTCCTGGCAGGGCTGGGGCTCCTCCCTTTGTTGGCCAGAGGTTGTGACTCTCAGTCCAAGACAGTCATCTCATTAACACCACCAAGAAGAGAGTAAGGCTGGACCTGAGCCTGAGAAGCCTATCAGCTGACAGCAGGGGCAGTGTGGTATCTGCACAACTCCCTCTGTGTTCTGGCTTGATGGTTATCCTCCGTCCCCTTCAAGGTAGTTATTCCTAACAGGACCTAAAATTCTTCCTTTTTACTGACTTGTGAAGGCTTCCCTCAGGCATAGGTCCCCAACTCCCAAAGATGCCAGGCAAGGAAGTAAGGAGGGCGGAGGGGATATCTGTGCCTGACAGCCCTGCGTGGGACCTCTCAAGAGCTCTGAGAAAGTGCAGGTTTCTATAGGGTCCTCTCAGCCCAACATAAAGGGCCTGGGGATCCTCCCTTTGAGGCCCAGAAATTGAGCCATTTAGACCAAGGCCCACAACTCCCTGAGATCCCCGATTTGTAAATGGGGTAGAAAGGAGAGATTCAGCTTGACAGCCTTTTCCGGCTCCCCAGGGCTTCCGGTGGAATCCGAATAAATTTCTGTGGAGATTCTTCTGGGTTCTGTGGTATACCCACATTCCTTGCAAGGAATTTATAGTTATTCCTGAAAAGGCAGGTACCCTATCCCTTCTGCAGACCCGGGATTACAGCCCTCAGACCATCGCTCCTATAAGCCCATAAACCACCCACAAGGAAGTATAGAGCATTGAGTTTGGGAGGCACTCTGTCTAAATGCCCTGGGCTTCTAAAAGCTGACAGCAAGGATGTATGTCTGTGTGCTCTTTTCTGTATGATAGGAAGTTCCCTCAGCTCTCCATAAGGTTCTTCTCCTTATCGCCTAACAGAGCCTGGGATACTTCCCTCTGAGGAGTCAGAGTCCTCACCCCTCAGAAAAAAAGTCTCTTTCTTCAGACTCTCAAGATGGCGCCTGGATACAAAACATCCTTGTCCCTGCCAGGGAATTTTCAGGGCAGACAACAAGGACAAGGTAAGGGAGGGGGAAGGGGAGCTCCCTTCAGTTTTTTTTTTTTTTTTTCTCAGAGTCCTCACCCCTCAGAAAAAAAGTCTCACTTTCCTCAGACTCTCAAGATGGAGCCTGAATACAAAACATCTGTGACCCTGCCTGCGAATTTCCAGGGCAGACAGCAAAGACAAGGCAGGGTCTGGGGTGGGGGTGTGTGAGAGGGGCGCTCCTTCTCTTCACAGAGAGATCTCTGTCCAGTTTTTTCTCAGAGTCCTCACCCCTCAGAAAAAAAGTCTCACTTTCCTCACACTCTCAAGATGGCGCCCAGATACGAAACATCTGTGGCCCTGCCTGGGAATTTTCAGGGCAGACAACAAGGACAAGGTGGGGTGGGGGGAAGGGTGGGCTCCTTCCCTTTGAGAGAGAGCTCCCTTCAGTTTTTTTTTTCCTCAGAGTTCTCACCTAGCAGGTCCACACACTCCTCCCTCTGAGATCTGAGTCCAGCAGGAAGCTGCTTCACCCTCTGACTCCCAAGGTGGAAGTCCATACTCATCACTTCCGGAACTCTGCCTGAGTATCACAGAGATGACTGAAGGGGCAGAACCTGACTGAATGAGGGCCCCTTCTATATACGGTGGGAGGCTCCCTCAATCCTCCTTCTGGAGCCTCCCCTTGAAACCTGACAGGACCTGAGACTCCTTCCTCTGCTGAACTGAGTCCAGCCCTCTCAGAGGAAATCTTGCCTCACTGAGTCCCAAGGCAAAAGTTAGAATACAAAACATCCTGATACTCTGTCTTGCATTTCCCAGGGTTCATCGTAGGAGCTGAGGGGGATGGGTCCCACTCTACTTTGGATGGGAAAATTCTTCATTACTTGCCTTGATTTCTACTGCCTAAACCTCCTTCCTCTGTCAACCTGAGGCCTCACCCTTCGCATCAAGACCTTTACCTCACCAAGACCACCAAGACAGGAGTGAGGCGGGGCCTCAGCCTGACAGGTTTACATGGAGTCTACCAGACTGTCAGCAAAGACAAGATCAGTTTCTATGTGGCTCCCTATTTATTGGGGGTTTCCCTTAGTCCTCCACAAGATATTCGTATTTTTTCCTGATAGGGCCTGCACCCTCTGCCTTCATAAGTACCCTGTCTCCCTGAGATGCACATCACAGAAATATAGAGGGTGTGGATAGAGGTGCCTGCTAGGGGCCTCCCAGGGCTGAAAGCAGGACTGCATTTCTATGGGGCCCCTCTGGCATGGGTGGATAAATCATCCCTCTCTAAAGGTTCTTACTTTGATGCCTGGCTAAGCATGGGACTACTCCCTCTGCTGACCTGAGTTTTGCCTCATCATATCAAAGCCATCACCTCCCTGAAAATGTACCCCTTCTCCTGGTAGAAGTCAGAATCTGCCACATCTGGCCCTAATGGCCCATGGTCTCCCAAGGCTAACAGCTGGGGTAGAATGGGCCTGGGACCAGTCTCATCTGTGATCTGAGTTCATTTTTTTAAAAAAAATTGTTTTAATTGCTTAAAATATTACAGAGTGGTACATATGTCTCCTTTACGATTCCAATTGACCTTCCCCCAGCCTCCCCTACCTCCCAGTGTCTTGTGTCCATTGGTTATGCTTATATACATGCATACAAGTCCATTGGTTGATCTCGTACCCACCCCCCCAACCCTCCCGGCCTTCCTGCTATAGTTTGACAGTCTGTTCGATGTTGCTCTGCCTCTGTATCTATTTTTGTTCATCAGTATATAATGCTCTTTAGTATCCATAAATAAGTGAGATCATGTGGTATTTTTCTTTCATTGACTGGCTTATTTCACTTAGCATAATGTTCTCCAGTTCCATCCATGCTGTTGCAAATGGTAAGAATTCCTTCTTTTTTACAGCAGCATAGTATTCTATTGTGTAGATGTACCACAATTTTCTAATCCATTCAACTGTTGATGGGCACTTAGGTTGTTTCCAAATCTTAGCTATGGTAAATTGTGCTGCTATGAACATAGGGATGCATATATCCTTTCTGATTGGTTTTTCTGTTTTCTTGGGATATACTCCTAGAAGTGGGATCACTGGGTCAAATGGGAGTTCCATTTTTAACTTTTTGAGGAAACTCCATACTGTTCTCCACAATGGCCGCACCAGTCTGCATTCCTACCAGCACTGCACGAGTGTTCCTTTTTCTCAACATCCTCGCCAGCACTTGTTGTTTGTTGATTTGTTGATGATAGCCATTCTGACAGGTGTGAGATGGTACCTCATTGTTGTTTTGATTTGCATCTCTCAGATGACTAGTGACTTTGAGCATGTTTTCATGTTTCTCTTGTCTTTCTGAATGTCCTCTTTTGAAAAGTGTCTATTTAGGTCCTTTGCCCATTTTTTGATTGGATTGTTTATCTTTCTTTTGTTAAGTTGTATGAGTTCCCTATAAATGTTGGAGATTTAACCATTATCAGTGATAACATTGGCAAATATGTTCTCCCATGCAGTGGGCTTTCTTATTGTTTTGTTGATGGTTTCTTTTGCTGTGCAGAAGCTTTTTATTTTGATGTAGTCCCATTTGTTTATTTTCTCTTTAGTTTCCAATGCCCTAGAAGCTGTATTGGTGAAGAAATTGCTTTGGCATATGTCTGAGATTTTGTTGCCTTTTGATTCCTCTAGTATTTTTATGGTTTCCCATCTTACATTTTTGGTGTTTGACCCTGGTGAGAGGGTCATCAATCTTGTTTATCCTTTCAAAGTACCAGCTCTTGGTTTCATTGATCTTTTGTATTGTTTTTTGGTCTCTGTGTCATTTATTTCTCATCTGATATTTATACTGTGGGCTTTTCTTGCTCTCTTTCTAATTCTTTAAGTTGCAGGGTTAGATAATTTGTTACCAGTTTTTCTTGTTTTTTTGCGGTAGGACTCGGGAGCTATGAACTTCCCTCTCAGGACTGCTTTCATTGTATCCCATAGATTTTGGATTGTTGTGTTTTCATTGAATTTGTTTCCAGGATGCTTTTTATTTCTTCTTTGATCTCTTTGGTAACACAATCATTTTTTAATAGCATGCTATTTAGCCTCCAAGTGTTTGATTTTTTTTCATTGTTTTTATTGTAGTTGATTTCTAGTTTTATGCCATTGTGATCTGAGGAGATGCTTGTTATGATTTCTATCCTCTTGAATTTGATGAGACTTTGCCTGTGTCCTAATATGTGGTCTGTCTTTGAAAATGTCCCATGTGCACTAGAGAAGAATGTATATTCTGTAGCTTTTGGGTGAAATATTCTAAAGATGCCAATTAAATCCATCTGATCTAGTGAGTCATTTAGGATTGCTGTTTCTTTGCTGATTTTTTGTTTAGAGGATTTATCCAGTGGTATCAGTGGGGTATTAAAGTCCCCTACTATGACTGTATTGCTATCAATCTCTCCCTTGATATCTCCCAGAAGTTGTTTTATGTATTTGGGTGCTCCTGTATTGGGTGCATATATGTTTACCAGAGTTATATCTTCTTGTTGAATTGCTACCTTTAGTATTATGTAGTGGCCTTCCTTATCTCTTGTAATGGCCTTTACTTTGAGGTCTATTTTGTCAGATACAAGTATCCCAACCCCAGCTTTTTTCTCATTTCCATTTGCCTGAGAAATTTTTTTCCATCCCTTCACTCTCAGTCTATGTGAATCCTTTGTTCTGAGGTAGGTCTCTTGCAGACAGCAAATATATGGGTCATGTTTCTTATCCATTCAGCTACCCTATGTATTTTGATTGGTGCATTTAATCCATTTACATTTAATGTTATTATTTTTAAAAATATATATTTTATTGATTTTTTACAGAGAGGAAGGGAAAGGGATAGAGAGTTAGAAACATCGATAAGAGAGAAACATCAATCAGCTGCCTCCTGCACACCCCCTAACTGGGGAAGTGCCCGCAACCAAGGTACATGCCCTTGAACAGAATCGAACCTGGGACCCTTGAGTCTGCAGGCTGACGCTCTATCCACTGAGCCAAACTGGTTAGGGCATAATGTTATTATTGATAAGTACTTGTTTGTTGTCATTTTTATTCTTAATGTTTGTGTTTCTTCTTGCCTTTCTGTTTCTTCTTTTTACAGTAGTCCCTTTAGCATTTCTTGCATTGCTGGCTTAGTAGTAATAAGCTCTCTTAGCCCTTTTTTGTCTGGGAAGCTCCTGATTCCACCTTCAATTTTGAATGATAGCCTTGCTGGGTATAGTATTTTTGAATTCAATCCCTTGCTTTGCATCACTTTGTATATTTCATTCCTTTCCTTCTGGCCTGGTGTGTTTCTATTGAAAAATCAGTTGATATTCTAATAGGAGCTCCCTTGTAAGTAACTTTCTGTCTCTCTCTGGCAACCTTTAAGTTCTTACTTTGTCGTTGGTGTTTGCCAATTTAATTATGATGTTTCTTGGTGTTGATCTTTTGAGGTTCATCTTGTTTGGGACTCTATGTGCTTCTTGGACTTGCATAATTTTTTTCTTGCCAATATCAGAGAAGTTTTCTCTCATTATTTCTTTTTTTTTTTTAAATATAGTTTATTGATTTTTTACAGAGAGAAAGGGAGAGAGATAGAGAGTTAGAAACATCGATGAGAGAGAAACATCGATCAGCTGCCTCCTGCACATCTCCCACTGGGGATATGCCCGCAACCCAGGTACATGCCCTTGACCGGAATCAAACCTGGGACCCTTCAGTCTGCATGCCAATGCTCTATCCACTGAGCCAAACCGGTTTCGGCTCATTATTTCTTCAAACTGGTTTTCTATTCCTTGCTTCTCTTCCTCTCCTTCTGGTATCCCTATTATGTGAATATTGTTTTGTTTTGTGTTGTCCCAAAGCTCCCTTAGGTTCTCCTCTTGCTTTTTAAATCTTCTTTCTATTTGCTGCTGTGTTTGTGTATTTTTTCCTACCTTTTCTTCTAATTTGCTGATGAGGTCCACAGCCTCTTGTAGTCTACTGTTTTTGCCTTCCATTGTGTTCTTTATTGCAACTATGTCATTCTTCATCTCCTCTTGTTTCCTTTTCATGTTGGTGACATTCTCATTCAGCTCCTTATAATTCTCTTTGAGTTGTGTGTATTTGTCATTGAATTGTGTGTATTTGTCATCCAGCCGTTTGTGCATCCTTATAACCATTACTCTGAATTCTTTCTCTGTTATGTTGCTAGCCTCAGTTTCTTTTAACTCCCTTTCTGGTGATTCTTATTTTTCTTTCCTTTGGGGATTGCTTTTATGTCTTCCCATGTTTTGCTCTAATGTTTTAATTGTAGATCCGATTGCTTTGCTACCCAGGTTCTTTGGGGATGGTGCTACTGGTGTGATCTCTCAGGTCTCCTGTGCTAAGTTATCTAGTGTAGCTCCCTACTTGAGCTATTTGAGTTCTCTTGATGTAGGCCTATGATTGGAAAGGTGCAAATGTGGTGTCTAGAAGTCAACAGGAGCCATGGAGGGGGGTATCCCAATTTTTGCTGTCTTACGCCCTTGGTTGAAGTCATGTGTGCCCAGCAGGGACTCACAGTGGCACTGGAAAAGCATTCAACTATAATGTCCAGAGTTCTGCAGCTGTGGGGTGGGCAGACTCAGTTTTTGCTGCTCTACCTGTGGTGGATGGCACATGCTCCCAGTGGCGGCTTACAAGGGCACCAGTGGTACATTTACCAGCATGGCATACTGAAGCACTCTGAAGGGCCTTGGCACTGAAGCCATGTAATTGAGGCATCTGTGGACAGGTATCAAGGGTGAGTGAATTCAAAATTTCTAGTGCCAGGGGGAGTGCATGCCTGTTTGCCCAAGATCGCACCTAGCTGGTGCTTGCAGCAGCTCCCGCGAGCGCCCTGTGGATAGATGGGCTCTGGGTGTAGGCTCATTGGAAATGCTTGACTGTGGCGGTGAGTTTGCTGGCACAGAGCTCTGATGGACTCTGATGGGCCCTGGCACTAAAGATGTGCAGATGGATTGTCTATGGGCACTTATTCAGGAAGAGAGAATTCAGAATTTCTACTGTTGGGCAGCGAGCCCCTGTCTGTTGAAAATCACACCCAGCAGGGGTTCACAGCAGCATCCAAGAGCTGCCTATGGAGTGCTGTGCCCTGGAAGTTTGCGTGCTAGAAACGCACGAATGTTAGAAACGTGATAATGTGGTGTCCTGAGGTCTGCTACTGGGGATGGGGGAATTTGCATTTACTGCTGTGGGAGTGGTGCATCTTTGGAGGTGGAGGTCCCAGGGTCCATGGGTCTGTGGGTGGGGCAGCAGGAATTTGGATGGAGTGGTTGCCGGGTTGCAGACAGTGTCCAAGGCCTGTCTGGATTGTGGTGCTGATGAGTTCCTAGAAGAGGCCACTCTCTCCTTCAAGATGGCATAGTTTCCATGCCGGAATCCTGCAGTCCAGAGAGTGCTCACAGCAGTGGTAGTCTCTTTCTGTCCAAGAGAACCTGGTCTGCCAGCCCCTGCTGCTCCTGCTGGATTTAACTGTCCCTCCCTCACTCACACACATACCACACATCCACACACTCTCCTTTAATCCCCTCACTCACTCACATCCTATCCCTCACCTCCATCCTGCCAGCCACCATCCAAGAATCAACCTAATTTGTACTTTTACCAGTAAACCCCTTCTCCTTTTTCAGCCATCCTCCCATATTCCCTCCCATCTGGCAACTGTCAAAATGTTCTCTGTGAGTCTGTTTCTGTTCTGCTTGTTTGTTTATTTTGATTGTTAGATACAATTGTTAATATATAGGTATTTATGGCCATTTTATTATTCATATTCTAATCTTTTGTTCTTCTTAAAGAAGACAGTTTAACATTTCATGTAATACTAGTTTGGTGGTGATGAACATCTTTAGCTTTTTGTTATCTGGGAAAATCTTTATTTGAGCTTCAATTCTAAATGATAGCTTTGCTGGGGAGAGTAATGTTGTTTGTTGGTTCTTGCTTTTCAACACTTTTAATATTTCTTGCCACTCCTTTCTAGCCTTCAAATTTTCTGTTGAGAACTCAACTGTCAGTTGTATAGGTGCTCCCTTGTAGGTAACTAACTGTTTTTCTCTTGCTACTTTTAAGATTATCTCATTGTCTTTAACCCTTACATTTTAATTATGTATGTCTTGGTGTGGGCCTCTTTGAATTCCTCTTGTCTGGGATACTCTGTGCTTCCTTGTCTTGTACGTATATTTCTCTCACCAGGTAGGGGAAGTTTTCTGTCATTAGTTCTTCAAATCAGTTTTCAATATCTTGCTCTCTTTCTTCTCCTTCTGGCACCCCCATAATGTGAATATTGGTATGCTAGAAGTTTCCCCAGGGGCTCCTTACTTTATTTTCATATTTTTGGGTTCTTTTTTTTTGTTTTTGTTCTTCTAATTGGGTGCTTTTAGCTTCCTCATATTCCAAATTATTGGTTTAATTATTTGAATCCTCTACTCTACTGTTGAATCCTGTCCATTATTCTTTATTTGCTTAATTTCTGGCTTTTCCTTTTTCATGTCTTTGAAATTCTCACTAAGATCCTTGAAAGTCTAAGTACCTTGAAGCTCTCATTAAATCCCTTGAGCATCCTTATAACTGTAACTCTGTATCTGGTAGTTTTCCGTTTTATTTAGTTCCTTTTCTGGAGATTTCTTCTGTTCTTTCATTGTTACTTGTTTCTTTGTCTCCACATTTTGGCTGCTTCCTTTTGTTTGTTTCTATGTATTAGGTAGATCTGCTATGTCTCCTGGAACTGGTAGAGTGGCCTTGTGAAGTAGATATCCTGTAAGCCCAAGTGGCTCAACCTCCCAGTCACCTGAGCTGGGCACTCTAGGTATGCCTCTGTGTGTGCTGTGTGCAGTCTTGTTGTAGTTCAGGTTAGATTGCTGTTGGTGCCACTGAGAGGAATTAACCACCAGGTCAATAAATTGCAAGGATCAATTGTGACTACAGTGGAAGATCTGGTGTACAGGAGCTTACACTATGGAACAGGACTTGCTTCAGTGGGGCACTGGTATTCCCTGAGTCTTCCCCTTGAGTGTGTCACTTGTGGAGGTGGTAGGGTTGTAACCTGGCATGTCAAAACTTACCACTGGTGCACTGACTCTGGGGACTCCCAGAAGGTACAAAGTCAGTCTCTGCCTTTGTCCTGCCCAGAGCCACCCAACATGAGCCATAGAGCAATCTGCAGATGGCTGCTACTTGTGTTGAGCTTAGAGGTGCACAGGAGAGACCAACCTATGAACCAAGACTGGGTTATCATCAGTGCTGGGCCTGGGTCCACTTATTGATAGGTATAGGGCACACTGATGCCAGTTTTTACTTGTTTTATAGATTTTAGGAAAGTCTGAAGCATGAGGCAAGAGAGGCCAGTTTTATGGAAAAGCCACTGGAAATTGCATGGATGAGCCTGCAAGTAGGGAGGGGCAGGGTTCTCAGGGAATAACCAGGGCAGGCAAAAAGTGTGAGCTGGGTTGATGAAATTCAGATATGGCACCCGTCTCTTGACTCTGTGGAGGGGAGGGCTTAGCCATAGAATGCTGACCTCTGCCAGCACTTCTGCCTGGGAGAAAGCTGCTCCTCCAGCTCTCACTCTGATTCCAGTCAAGTTAGTTCCTCCCTGAATGTCCCATGTTCCCTTCCAGGTGTGTCCCCCCACACACTGGAGCTTAGAGGGCACCAGTCCAAGTACATCCATGCATGGGCACTTTAGAAGGAACTGCCTGGAACTCCCACAGCCTCTGTGTCACTCAGTCACAATTCCCACTGCTTTTACACCAGAAGTTGTGGGGACTTCACTTGCTGGCAATGGAACCCTGGGCTGGGGGGGGACTAATGTGGGGCAGGGACCCTCTGTTCCTCAGGCAAACCTCCACAGCCAAGATATCCCTCCCAATTTTAAACCACCACAGGTGGGTGTGGGCCCAGCCAGATTGCAATTCCACCCTTCTTCTCAGTACCTCTTACCAGTCTTGATGTGTTTCTTCTTTAATTACCTAGTTGTAGGACTTATGTTCAGCTAGATATCAGGTGGTTCTGAATGAAGGTTGTTCTATATTTTAGTTGTAAATTTTGATGTGGTTGTGGGAAGTGGCGAGTATCACATTTACCTATGCTGTTATCTTCAATGCAGTAATGTAGGCCAGCCATGTTCAGATTTGTGCTAAGGCATGTCCCAGCCATGTACATTTGTTTACTCGAGGTGACAGATGAATGCATGCATTTACTAGACCTATTCCATATAAATTTAAAATTAGAGTAATAGATATAGAAAACTTTTCTCTGAAATTAAACTTTTCATAAGTACTTAAATTTAAATACACAAACATGTCTACATAAGTAAATACAGGTAAACTAACTTATTTGTCAATTTTTTAACATATGCATTCAGAAAACCTACTTTGTTATATAAAGGACTTTTGAATTTAATGGACCCCCCTCACCAGAATTAGAAGTTATATTGAGGTTTTACTGTATATTATAGAGTATGTTTAACCATCATCACCATGCTGTACATTAGATCTCCAGAACTCTTTCATCGCACATAACTGAACTTTTTTACTCTTTGCCTACCATCTCCCCATTTCCCCCACACCTCAGCCCCTGGCAACTATCATCCCACTCTGCTTTTATGAATTTGACTTTTTTGGTGTTATTGTAAAAGAAGCCAAAATATTAACAGGATCTTCAGAGGTAGAGGTTGTTCTGATTTCAAGAATTGATTTGTCCCTGTCTGACACTGGCCTCCCATTTAAATTAGTTCGAAGACAGTTTCCTGTGATGCCAGCATTTGTGATGACTATTAATAAATCACAAGGACAAACTCTAGACAGAGTAGGAATATTCCTACCTGAACCCGTTTTCTCACATGGTCAGTTATATGTTGCTTTCTCTCAAATTCGAAGAGCATGTGACGTTACAGTTAAAGTTCTAAATACTTCATCACAAGGGAAATTAGTCAAACACTCTGAAAGTGTTTTCACTCTTAATGTGTTGTACAGGGAGATAT